GAGTCTATGAGTCTATGAGTCTATAAGGGGAAAGCAAAGAACAGGTGGGGCCAACTGTCTCTCAATTGTTACAGACTTCAGTGTCGTGGGAAAGGAGGGCCGGTCATGGAATATATATAGACAACACATCTTCAAGTGATTGTTTATATGGCTGTTGTCTGGCCATCAGTAAGTTTAGGCTTGAAATTAGGTAAAGGTTTTTAATCAGAGGAGTGATGTTCCGGAACAGCCTTCCAAGGGGAGTAGTGGAGGCAAAAAACCTAATTTTAAGAGTGAGCTCGATAAGTTTATGGAGAGGATGGTATGATGAGAATGTCTATAATGGCATAGGGCCCATCTGTGACTGCTATTAGCAAATATCTCCAACCGTTGGAGATGGGACATTAGGGGAGGGCTCTGAGTTACTACAGATAACTGTTATCTGGCTGAAGGGTCTTGAACACATGCTCTGGATCTAACTGATCGCCATATTTGGGATCAGGCAGGAATCTTCCCTCAGGTCAGACTGGTAGAGACCCTGGGGTTTTTTCACCTCCTCTACAGCATGGGGCATGAGTGACTTGCTGGTTTGTACTAGAGTAAATGGTGGATTTTCTATAACTGTGAAGTATTTAAATCAAGATTTGAAGACTCCAGTAACTCAGCCAGAGGTTATGGGCATATAATATGGGTGGATGAGGTTTTGTAGCCTGCAACATGCAGGTCACTTTAGATGATCATTATGGTCCCTTCTGGTCTTAGAATATATGTAGACTCCCATGCAAAGATGTCGGAAATCTGATCTTAAGTAACTAAAGGCTGAAAAACTGCCATGCCAAAAGACGTGCCAGCTCTGGAAACCTTCCCTATTGCATAGTGCTATTGAATACTGTTTAGTAAATGTATGGATTTAACTCTATGTGGCAGCTCTACACATTTTGGCAATAGGAACATTTCTAAAGAAAGCCACTGAAATAGCCTGACCTCTAGCACAGAGAGATTTTATATGAACAGAAGGCTCTTGTTTAGCCATTTAACAGAGATTGAAACCACCCAAAATCCAGTTAGACAATCTTTGGGAAGAAATTGCCTTCCATTATACTTCTTTGGCATAGGTTACA